AGACCACATCAACACGATTACAAGACTCATTGAAGTTTTACGGGAGTACAAACAACCACTCTGTCTCACTTTCATCGATCTAAAGAAAGCCTTTGATTGAGTGGAAACGGAAGCGGTATTAGAGGCTCTGGATAACCCTAGCATCCCTACTCGGTGCATAATGATCCTTCGTGTGCTTTACAATATTTCACGGCCAAAATAACTCCATTCAACAACAATATCACCATTGACGTAAGAAGAGGGGTTCGACAAGAAGATACAACTTCGCCAAAATTATTTAGTGCCACCCTCCAAAACATCATGCGAACATTAATGGGACGACATGGCAGTGAAAATTGACGGTCGACAGTTGAACCATCTTCGCTTTGCTGACGATATCGTTCTCATAACACCAAACATCAGCCAATCGGAACGAATGTTGACCGATTTCGATAACGCCTGTGGAAAGATTGGTCTTCAATTGAACCTAACGAAAACAATGTTCATGAGGAACGGATGGGTTTCTAATGCCCCATTCACGCTCAACGGAACGAAAATCTCCGAACGCTCCAGTTACGTATGTCTAGGTTGTGAAATCAACATGATGAACGTCCTAGCACCAGAGTTAAGCGGAATGAAACGAGCGGCTTGTGGAACGTTTAAGAGTATCGAAGATGTAGTGAAGAGGACAAAAAACATCCGACTCCTTGCCCACCAATTTCAACTCGACCATTATCGCTGCCCCAAGGTATGCAGCAGAAACCTCGTCGCTACGTAAGCAGGATGAAAGATCACTTGGCGTTATTAAACGCGCAGTCGAAAGGTCGATGCTAGGAGTACCCTGTATCTCGCAAATGAGAGAATTGATCTGAAGTTCCGACCACGTCAACGATCGAAGATCAAAGGCGCCGTTCTACACAGGGTATCGAAAATAAGGTGGCCGAACTCGTGATGCGCTTCAACGACAACCGATGGACGAGAGCTGTTACCGACTGGATTGCTCGGGATATGAAGCGCGCTACAGGAAGACCACCAACCCGATGGTCCAGTTTCTTCACGAAAAGACTAGGAGAAAGGTATGCTTGACGAATCCCTGGAGCGTGGAGGGCTCCACTGGGCTACTCTTGCACGCGATAGGGGTATTTGGATGCGCTGCTGGTACTCGCCCGAATCACTCGACGATCAGCAGGACCACAGGTGACAGGTGATAGAGGTGATTCTGTTTTTTTGATGAAATTTTATTCGCTCCTAGGCTTAAATCATCTGTTGCTACTTCAAAATCTTCTAATGAAAGTCCTAGATCATTTATTTTTCATTCTACTTCCGTCTTTTGAATAGCGGCAATATACCTACTGCCTAATGCGAATACTCTAAAGAGGTGAAAAGCAATTACTATTCATTGTAAACAATGCCAGGAATTTGAACAGAATCAAGGTGATGTCTTGATTGTGAAACCTTTGTATAGCCTGCGAAGATTTTCTATACTATTTGAGGCATCATGACCGTCAAGTGTTTTGAAGAATCCATCTGTGTCAACTAAGTTGAAAGCTTTCTTCAAATTGATGAACGTGGGACACCAAAGTATTTTGTACTCCTACCTCCTATTATATGTGTCCAGAAAAATCCTGTTATAGTGTGGAAATAGTCTATGGTTCTGAATCTCTTAAGTAACCTTGTTGCAGTGTTCTTTCTAACATGTTCAAGACAATTTAAGTGAAGAGCTCATAGACTGCACATAGCAAGTTGGTTTATTCTTCAGTGACGAGTTAGCATGTTGGATTTCAGGAGAACCAGTGGGGCAACCAAACCATTATTCTTAGGAGAGAAATGTCGCTACTGAAGCAAGTTGTGAAATGGTATATTGGTAGCTTTGGTAATCTCTTTTTTGAGCTTGGCAGTTCTTTTCCTTTTCTGAGAAAAGTGAATTATGTGAGGAGGCAATAGTGTGATTTCACGAAAAATTATTGGACAAACGGCAATATTGATTAGGCAAAACATTCAATTTACCATGATGTGGCCTATTTTATCATGGTATTCCTATTGGGAGTCTCTCACGTCCATCGTTATGAGTAGAGTTTCTGAGGTATCATGGATGGTTGCAGTTGTCATTATAAACTTGAACATCCTTCCATCGGCTCGTCTCATTATAATGCATGGTGCTCGAATGTGGCGCTCTTTAGGTGTTCTTCTAGGTCGAATTTCACTGTCGAACTCTTCAGAGGTGATCTTGAGAATTGTATGGCTTTTCCTGCAAAAAATTTGTATATCACCAAAGTAATTGTTCTTTGGGATCATGAGCGTTGAGTGAACGGCGTATTTTAGTCATTACCACTCCGATAACGTGGTACCTCATTCATTTTGCTTACCTTACTAGATTCTCTATAAATCCACATTGAAATTAAGAGCCTAGAACAAGACAGCTTGAGCGCGTGCTTGAGTTCATAAATGACGACCAAGCCATTTGTGACAAATCACATTTCCAGAGAACCCACTCTGAATGGTGAAGGTTTCCTAATAGATTGTATCACTACAAGGAAATAAACCCTCAATTCAGAAAATCGAAAATTTTGCCTACCAGATATCAGTGTCATGCCGGATATTTCAATTGAGAACGGCCTCTCGCCTTAACGGAGTACTCCAGTTTTCATGAAAAGTAAATAAAGCGCTAAATCAAAGACGAGACTAATTACAAGCATATACTTCAATTTACTCAACCCGAATTTGCATAATCACTGTTCAATTACTAACTGCATAGTCAAAATTCTGGTCAAGATTAAAAACACCATAAAATGAATCGTTAGAACTCTCAACACTAGACCGATGAGATGGCTATGCTGTTATGCCGGAATAAACCCTCTGAGATATAAAACCGAAAAACAAAGCGTTATATGGAGTTCAAAAGCAAAAGTTCATCGTGGCAGAGCGTATGACACATTACTGGGATAAATGTGTAGATTCCAATGTCTTTGTTTCAGCTCTTTAATTAGCGAAAAGGGCAGTGGTAGTTAGACCGTCTTCACGCTAGTGGATCACCTACTCAGGCTCTAATTCGACCCTTCTTTAAAGCCACTAAGTCTCTAATGCCTTCGGAGTCGAAAAGTTGTTAAGTGAATTTCCTGGGATAATTCGATGTTTTTCAAGTTCATAAGGGAACGTCCTGGCACAGCTGTCTTGCAATTCTAGAAAGATCGACTAGGCCAATATTCAGTGACATCATGGCGAGGATGAAAAATGCTTAAGCAGTAATCGAAGCAGCACGCAAAAAGTTTGGAGATTTTCGTGTATGGTGAGTACAAGAAAACGAATCGAATGCATGATAGTCTGCTATTCATTCAGTGTAGTACTAGTAATGCCAACTCATTTAATGAATAAATATATAGACATATCCCAGAATGCTTAGTAATGTTAAAAACTCTGAAATACTAGTGGGAGCTGAGCTCACACTTTACTAATATCGGAGAGCGAGTGATACCATCATCTACCAGGCCTCTTTCTGTAGTTTCATTCTTATGTAGCTATGACATCATGACACTGCTACAAAAACGGTTAAATTATGAATTTCTAATGGTGGAAAATTCTACTATTTTTACTCAGTTTTTCGCAGTGTTATGATGTTTCGTATATACCTAAGGGAATTGAGTGGTGAACCAAAACAGGGTCTCAGACGAGAATCGAACCAGTGTTTCATCCATATCGGGGACACGTGCTACTACCACTGCACCACCGAGGCACATTTGCGCCACCACTCATTCTACAACATCTCTATCTTAGCTATCAGCCACAAACCTTTAACAGGTTTGGTCGGGTATGCGATTTCCCTTTTATAAACCCAGTTGAGCTGACAGCCATTGTAGTAAGTAATAGTTGAAACTTCTAGTATTTTTACTGCATTTTTCGCAGTGTTATGATGATTCGTATGAATTTTTGTGAAATAAATATAGCCTAATGTGATGAAATACGTGCGATTCATGTCATAGAGATGAGATATTTTAATTTATAGTGAAGAATGTGTTAAACGATTTGCATTCAGTCTAGAGACTCACATCCCGGATGGCTGGCCTTTTCGGTCCTCGGATTGGCCCCGCCTATGAGGGTTGCCGCGCGTCTCCAAACCGACCGACGCCATGCCCCCCACTTATCCACGGCCGCCTTCCATATTTGAACATTGCGCTGTGTCAGTCAGCAGTCTCTTCCATGTTCTATCGTTGGGAATTGCGCCTGCACTATTGATTCTCGTTGAAGCGCCTGAGTGACTACCAGATGTAATTCATTCTGAACTCATTCATCCCCTCTCACAAATTCATTTGTTCATTCCCTTTTGCTGTCGCGTTATTTGTCATGAAGGCGTTGACGGGAAAAGCTCGTGGGCGTTGTTGTATGCCAAAAGTGCATGTGACGACGTCATTTGTCATTTGTCTCGTTCGTCCATTTCATCGTGATGGTGTGACAGAATATTTAGTGTCTCATCTGTCAGACGCTATCCATACGAGTCTTAGTCGTTGTCGTTTTGATCGATGCTTAGTAGGATGTGTCTAAGCAACCATTATTCCTCTCTCGCATTGCTTTCCCGTGTCATTTTTTCCTTTTGTCATTTTTACTCCAAGTCAATTTTTTTCTCACCAGTCTGAATTCATCCCATTCAACTAGTTTGCCACTAAGTAAAATTAGTTATCTCTCTTTTCACATTTCCTTTAAATTCTAAAGCGATTGATTTTTTGGCTTTGTGTTTAGAAAATCAGTAAGCTTATGAATGCACAGAATTTTAGCATTTTAAGTGTCCACTGGTCTTTTTCCCTTATCAGTTCTTCAACATGAATTGATCTAATTATAGAACAAGAAGCGTCGGCCTTTCCCTCTTTATGTAAGCCAAATCTGTGCCGATTAGAAAGAATGTAAATGAAATATGCGCTCTAGTAATGTACTATTCTTGCAAGAACTGCCAAACATGGCTCTTCATTTGTAATTTATCATCATGTTAAAAATCGCTTTAAACATATTAAGCATCTTTATCAGACATGTTTTGGTGCATTGGCCGGGAATCGAACCCGGGTCGCCTGCGTGGCAGGCGAGCATTCTACCATTCTTCTTTCTACTGACAGTGAACTAAATTGGTGCAATAAATTGACAGTTGGTACATCGGTCGCCTCATTCGAACTCGGGTCTTCTACTGATCCTCCATACATTTGATGCATTGGTCGCCTTAGTTCGAACTCGGAGCTGTCACAGAGCTTGCTCCACCACATATGTTATGGATATTTTTGGATATTTTTCTAGACCTTCTAAATTATCTTATCTTCGCTACTTATCGTGCTCCACTTTCGAAGTGTATTATGTGTGCAGTATTGCTTTTTATCTACATTCGAGTATATATTGTAAATGATCAGATATGCTGCTTACTCATATTTTTCTCCGGGCCGAGCAATACAGTTATTTCTTCAAAACATTTTTTTTTCAACTCCAATCAGTCGACATGATGCGATATGATGCCACATAGATATAGACAATCGTATAAATCACTTCAAAGCTCTCATATCACATTATGTTTCATTTTTCGTCTAAAATCATATTTGTTCAGAGATAAGCGTCAAGTTAAGGCTACTACCTGGTGTAATGTTCTTTGTAGTGTTTTTGAAAATTGATTCTCATTTGGCCTCAAATAGTCAATATTTTGTTGTATTTATGACCGTAGCCAAGTAGGCTGTAAAATCATTGTGTATTCATTGTGTTTTGGTGCTGGTGTATTCTTTATTTCGGTTTTACCAGCCTTTCGTTTTCCGTAACCGAAATGAAAGAGGAGACGCCGAAACATTAGTCTCTGTAAGGATTTTCTACTAACCTTAACTAAGGTTATGAAGCCAAAAATCTGTTTATCGCACTGTTTTTAAATTCGCATCTTTACGCAGTTGTGAGTTTTAGTAAAATAAGATATAGAATGCACAATATGCTTTTTTTGAAGTTCTCGAGAAGTTAGTTTGATTCGATCGATGAGGTCTACAAACCGGTTGGTCCAAAACGCCGATCAACCGATCTATGAACTGAACGGCGAACTAAGCAAAGTGTCATGCAAAGCACTGACTCAATCTCGACACTTTTCTCTACTTTCATCTTCTTTTCGTTGAGTTTGATTTATTAGAATGCATTATTTATTCAGCAGTAGTTGCTAGGGAAATGGAGTTCCTATTACGTAACTAGTTCATAGACACCTCAACGACGTAAAACGTTTAATGTAATAACTTGAATTGCTTATTAAAACTACACTAAAGTGTATTGTGCGCTTCTAATCTTTTCTTCTCTCATACTTCTCTTCTTGATAATTTCAATGTGTAGTTTTTTATGCCTATATTGAATACTTTATTTTTGGAATATTCCAAACGTGATCTATGTGGAGTTTCCAAATTCACCTCCATTTAATGTACAGTATATTCGTCATTGTGCAGCTTAAGCTTGAGTTATCATACAGTTTCTCAGTAGACTTTTCAGAGCTAAGACTATTCTCACGACGGGAGTGTTCTATCACCAGCAACATGGTGAATTCGGACCGTCCGTCAACACCTCTTGATAGCCCACTAACCACCAAATTCCCGTTGTCTGTCGAGAATTTTCAAACATTTCAGCAAGGTACGTTAAGGCTTCCTTCACGTATATATACTCCCGCAAATACTATTCATAGTGACAATTATTTTGAGTCCTTATTCTCATATGAAGAAAGCAGTCGGTGAGATCGTAGGCGGTTTGAAATTTCGATACTGGTAACGCAGGTGGCTTCACTGTGTAGGCGTTCTACTGTTACCACTTAGCAACCATCCATAACTGTTCATCGATAGCGTTATGGCATCATTCCTTTACTAAACTCACAATGAAAACCGTCAGATATTATTTTCTTCTTCTCCAACAATTCTGATGCACTATTCAAGCGACGAGGCACGAGAGCTTATTGATCGCTAGGTTTTGCCAGCCTCAATTCTCTCCCTTATTCTGTGGGTTCTCCCCTGAGGGCTCTACACAGGTGCACTCACTTTTTTATTTTGTTCTCCTCTCTGATAAGTTTTCTCGTCCTCTCACTCTTCCTCCCTCTATGGACATTGCTTATAATCTCCTTTTACTTCAAACGTTCCCCCTTGCATGCTAAGTTCTTGTCCATGGATGTCCAGTGCTAGTCAATGCCATTGGTTACGTTCCGTGTTTACTCTACTCATCCCGTGATATAAAAATCGTTCTTCAAACTTATTCCCTACATTTAAGAGAAAAAAAATGAGAGAATTGGACTTGAACGTTTTCAAAAATAAGCCCCTCAAAAATTTTTAGTTTTTGGGAAATTCTGAATTGCTATTGCTAATTATAATCATGGAATTTCTGGCTAAGAATATCACTAGGCATATTTCGCAATAAGAATCATTAACTTTATTCTTTCTCCCTTTTGTGACCATTTTTTTGTGTAGCATTCCATTGTGTAACAATTGTCAACAAAAAATTCAAATGACATTGGTTGATTGACGTATTGGTTCTGATGCAAGAAAGTCTTTTTTATTAAGATGAAGCTCGTCCTTATCTCAAAGCAAACAATTCAAGAATCATCTATGCAGAAGCCACTGAAACCTCTTCAAATGGACGTTGCAGGAACCTTTTCGAATAAATGTTGTAGTGATGGTACCTACGATCAGCAGCGGGGATATGATTTTGATGGCGAGTAGGTCGTTAACACCTAACAGCACTCGATGGCGACCTTCGGAATGATTGTGATTATGCGAAAAACTCGGAAAAATGTCGCCAAAGGACTCTACATTAGTCATTCAGCTGTCGTTCATTTGCAAGGCATTGGTTAGACGTAACTCCATAAATGGATGTCACACGAAGTGGACGAGAAGCGATGAAAATGAGTTTTGTCCGATGCTTCTTTTTTTACGCAACAAAGGCGGCCAATTTTCGATCGCAATGGGAACGCGGTTGAAGTTGTTTCTAATGACGTTCACCGCACTGCTTTGATTGAGACTCAAAAAACGCTTCGAAATGCTAAATGTGCAGTATAAGGCGGATATTGTGGATTTCTTCTTTTTGAAGATGGAATATCTCATGAAGACTAGTAGAAACGCGACTCTACTTCATCCAGTGTGTCATTAGGCGTTTCGGCAAGTGATTACCAGCCTTTAGAAATCTTTTCAACTGCTAACTGCGAAAATCTCTGCGGCTGGTCGGCTATTGAAAATCTCTTAGTGGATTTCGTCTCTTCCCGCACTTTAGAACTGCATATGATCGGGATGAATCTTATGTAGATGTCTAAAGTTGTGTATCAGTCGAAGTTTAAGAATTCGGTTGACGATAAAATTTTGCTAGTGTTTTCTACGGACATAATAATATAATGTTTGGTTCGTTTAAGCTTACGTAAAATCCGCGTGTCATCAAATAAGCGTCCTCTTCTGGTTTTGTCACTGAAACATCTTAAAGTTTTGAGCTGTCCATTGCATTGTTACTTTCCGCGTTTTTACGCTTCCGATAAATGTCTCAGGATAAATGACTCTGTCTACCAATTTCAAAATATTTATATTTCATGTATACATGCATATATACATATATATATATGTACTTTTTCAGTGCATTATTGATGCAAAGCTTATGGTATAATTGTGATTATTAAGCCTGCCCTCTCTCTTTCCGTATAGCACCGTCTCATCATTTTCCTGATGCGGAACTATGACGTACTGCAGAGTTATCATCCTGTCAACACGTCATTCAAACCGAAAATGAATTCCGTATTTTCGAAAGCATATGGTAGAGAAATCCTGTGCCACAAGGGAACACGTGGACTAAACGTGCCAACCTCTTTACCCATTTTAGTTGAAGAATGGTATTATCGCAAAGATGCAAAAACGTTGGTGTCTCGCCATCGAGCTCAATCCATTGAGCTGCTTGGGTTATGCGAGTAGAAGGATAGGGATCATAGGTGCTCGAATTACTCGATGATTAGATGAAATACAGTGATACGAGTGATTGATTATTGGACCGAAAGAAGGAAATGATAGAAAAGGCAATCGTTGACATTTGATCTATGGTGACTTTAGCGCTAAAAACAAGATCCGAATTCACCCATAGGTTCAGCAAAATGTTCAGTCAAAAATTCATTTAGAATCTACATCGTTGCAGCCTCAGGCACATAATCTTACTGTTTCTTTTCAGCCAATTTATAGGGTCGAAGTCGACATAGTTTTTCTCATGAGAACTGGTTTCGACTCTACTGTTAGATTTGCGCAAATACCGTTATAAATTCGCTATTATAGATTCTTATCGACACTCTTTGATTTTTTTTTTTTTGATTTCATGTCTCACCTCAATGTGACTATTTGATGATTTGTACTTTAAAACTAACCACTCAGAGCAATAAATAGCAAGTGATAGGATATGAAGTCTACCGAACTGTAGTAATCAATTTGTTAGCTAACAGTCCTAGAGTTAGACAAAATAAGTGAATATAGAAACTTTTACGATTTTGGAGCTGTGGTGACTTTTCTGCGTCACATGCTTCCTAAAACACCGGAAGCTCCATCAATTTATCAATAATCTACACTATTATTCTCTCTCTCTCTCTCTCTTTCTCTCTCCTGAAAAGTATTACAGTAACTGGCCTTTTTTAGGCAGTGACTTCTTTTTATTTTATTTTTTTATTGTGTTATGAACGTTTGAAACATACACTAGCTATGTCGTTTTTTGTAAAAAAAAAACTATTAACGCGTTTTTTCCAGCCTTAAACGGAGCCGACTCGATGACAACACCTAGTACAATTGCATCCTGTACCCCTTCGAGCGCGTCTAGCAGTGATAGTGGACCGACAACATCTTCGAATGCACAGAGTGGTACGCATATATGTATATGCATATATGTACATATGCATATATATGTGCATATTTATGCATATATATATACGTATATACATACATATCTCACTGAGTATCTTTTTTAATTCTATAAGTGCTTACGTTGACATTTAAGAGACTCCAAAGAAACGACATCGTTCCCTTTCTCATAAGGACTTCAACCAAACTGTGTTTGAGAATGTTGGTTTGTTTTTCTTAATCGTTTTGCTATATTGTACCTTTACCACATTGTAAATAGTTTTTGTATTT